TATTATCATTCCAAAATGTCTTTGTCCTTGGAATAATCTAACAATGTCAAAGTCCTAAGAAGAGGGGTTTTAAAATTGGAGTTCACTGCACCTCAGATGCACGAGCTGTGATGTAGATGTTATCCATTGGGACTGTGTTCCCTGTAATCTGTTGATCTCTGCATTGTGTCCAGTTGTGGTTTTCTGTGATGGTCTCCATTTGCTGTAAGCCAGGCTTCTCTGATGAGGGATGGTAGCTTATCTGCGGATATAAGGATAAGAGTTAGAGTATAGTAAGGAATTCAGTCTAGCAAAGTAGTGGTAATAGATACTTTTCTAAGGTCCATTTGCTCATTAGTCCTGGGAAGCTGGCTAGGTTTTCAGTACCATATAGGATTTCCCTCCTGTTGAATGCCCACTAGTCCAATTAGATAGCTATTAAGCTTGTCTGAAGATCAGAAAAGCAAAGCAGCCAACCACTAGAGAGTTCTTAACATTTAGCAAGGATCAGACCAAAAGGGGTGATCCTGTCCTCAGCGGTTCTGAAGACTGACTGACTCCTGCTTCCTCCTGTCTTATATTCCTCTCTAATGCTGGTATTAAAAGTGTGTTCCATGACTGCTTGGCATGGCTGACTAGTGTGACTAGTTTTGCACTGTCATCTTCAGGCAAGCTTTATTTGTTAGATCATAAACAAAATATCACTAACATGTGAGTGCCACTTATTGCACATTTATAGGCATCTTGCCATGCTGTACTTACTTGCTTGGTTCAGAGGTGCTGTAGCTGAGTAGGACTGTTTAACTGCTTCCTTCCTTGTTATCTTGAATAGTATTTTCTGGAACCATGGAAGCTAGACCATAGCAAAAGAGGCTTTCAGTTAGATCCAGCTTGAATCTGAATTCTATGTTCTCAATGTACACTGTCTTCAACAATAGGAAACCACTCTCAACTCCTGAGGGGCAACCAAGGATTCCATCTATAATCTGTATTGTTTTTGGAGTTTTAGAGGAAGAAAGATGATAAAAGTCAGAACATTGGGAAGTCTTCTGTGAAACAGTCTGTCATAGAAATGGCTGCATAAATAAGACCTGAAAAATGCCAATATCATTGGACATGTTAATGTGGAAGGGGAAAATTTCATAGGCTTCTTCCCCTAGATAAAGAACTACAGGTGAGTAATGGCTGCTGGGAGAAAGTGAATTAGCCTCTCTCAAGGGTGAGCTCCTTAATGGTTTTCCAGTGGAGAGTGGTCAACCTTGAAATCATACAACAAAATATATGCAGGTATACATACATGTATACACAACAAATATATACAACAAAATGGATGCAGATGACTATATTTATATGTCTTTGTGCATATACACATATAACAATAATAATCAAATGAAAGAGAACATGAACTTAAGGATGGAGACTCAAAGGAGGGTAACTGGGAGAGGCTGAAGGGAGGAAAGTGACCTCATCCTATTTTAATTAAAATGTACAGGTCAATTGTTGGCACACAATTCCTTTAAATAGAATTATTCTTTTAGACATAAAATTTTAATACATTATTCTTATTATCTGCTTCACAGATAATCCAAGTTGAGACCCTCTATTAATTTCTCATTTCTTTTTTTTTTTTTTTTTTTTTTTGAGACAGGGTTTCTCTGTATAGCTTCGGAGCCTATCCTGGCACTCATTCTGTAGACCAGGCTGGCCTTGAACTCACAGAGATCCATCTGCCTCTGCCTCCCAAGTGCTGGGTTTAAAGGCGTGTGCTTCTATTATCACAATCTGTGACTCAAAAGCAAAAAGAAAATAAAAGTCATTCTTGAAGATCGAACTCTGATGTTAGTTTCAGTGGGCTAAAGTCAAAGTGTCTGTCAGAGGTCAAGGTGATTTCTTCTGGCAGAACTTTCTCATTGTGAAGGGAGAATCTATTTCTTAGCTTTCTTTATACTTTAGTGGCTACCTGCATTCTTTGGCTTGTAGCCCGTCACTACGATCTCAAAGTGCATCGCTTCAATTTCTGCTTCCATAATCCCATTTTCCCTTTCTTGTGTTACTTGTGTAGAATGTTCACTGGTCAGTATACAGCATTTTATGTTTTGTTATTTATTCACTTGTATGCAACATTTGACTGGCTAATAACATTACTGTTTGTCATACTTTACAGCTTATGAAATAGCTAATAACAAAACTATCTGATTTAGTTCTTATGTATGAGATTTTATCCACAAGTTTGAAGTGATTTTTAATGTGTTTATTGAGTCCTTACAATAGACCGGGTGACACAGGCACATTCTTCCTGCTGTGCCACTTACTCCTATTTTAGGGAGATGCTCAAATCACGAACATTAACTAATTTCAACCTGTGATGGAATGTCGCAAGGTAAACAAATGGCAGCAGTAAATGGGAGCTCCCTCCCTTCATCTAAACTTGTGTCTCCCATCTTGTGGCCCCCCTTTTATCTAGTTTCATGGCCTATACCCACCCATATGCATTTTATACACACACATATACTTATATACAACACACACACACACACACACACACACACACACACACACTGAAAGATAGGATTCATACACTAGAAAGCACAAGGTCTTTCCGAGTCTGAGTTACCTTAGTTAATATTACAATTTCCAAATCCATCTGTTTGCTGAAAACTTCATTTTCCTTTAGGGCCGAATAAACTTGTAGTGTGTATTCATGGCACATTTTTGCTATCCATTCATCTGCTCATGGATGCCCAGGTTGATCCTCTTTCCTTTATGGATAATGGATGGGAAATTATGCCAGAGGTAGTATGGAGTGTGCCTGTTTTCCTAGGCATAGTACAGCATGCCATGTGGTAGTTTTATTTTTAATTCTGTGAGAAACATCCACACTGATTTCCATAGTGGTTGTACCAGTTTGTACTGTCACAGATGTGAATAAGGGTTCCTCCTGAAGCAGACCCTAGCTAATATTTGTTGTCATTTGATTTTTTTGGGGATAGCCTTTTTGACTGGGAACTTCCAAGTAGTATTAATTTGCATTTTCCTTGACAGCTGTCTGCCAATTCTTAGGCCACTTTCCTGTGTTTTTGGAGTGCTATTTAGGATAATTATTGCCCAAATCTGTATCTTGAACTGTTCCCTAAATTTTGCTCTAACACTTTCTGTTTTAACATTAAGGTTACTGGCCATTTTGAACATGATTTTTACAGGGCTAGAGCTATAGACCTCGTTTGGTCTGCCGGTAGACACTTAGTTTTGACAAAAGCCTTTGTTGAATAGGTTGTCTTGTTATTTAAAGATTGCTTTTAAAGCCTATGTAGAATACTGGGTATTAAAAGGCATGTACATTTATTTCTGGATTCTCTATTCTGCCCTAGTGGTCTACAAGTTTGCTTTTGTGTCACTACTATTCTATCTTTGTTACTCTGACTGCAGTACAATTTGAGGTCAGGTACTGTAACATCTTCAAGAATGCTGATTGCTTAGGATTGCTTTGACAACTCATGGTCTTCTGTGTTTCTATGTATATTTTGGGATTTTTCTAGTTTTTTGAAGTATGCCATTAGAAATTTTCTGTGTATTGCATTAAATCTATATTTACTTTTGAAATATATCCCTTTTCACAATATTAATTTTTTCAGCCATGGAAGTTCTTTCCATAATCTAGTGTGTTCTTCAGCATCTTAAAGTTTCCATTGTAGAGATCTTTCACTTCCTTCATTAGGTGTATTCTTAGTTACTTTATTTTTGAAGCTATTTTTAGTTTTCCTAATTCTGATTTCCTTTCTTTTTTTTTTTGTATCTTGAGGTTTGTACCCTGCAACTTTATTGAAAGTTAATCATATCTAAAGTTTCTGGTAGAGTCTGTAGGGTTTTTTAAGTACAGAGTTATCCCCTGCAGAGAGAGAGGGAGACCATTTTACTTCTTTTCCTATTGTATTGCATTTATTTCACTCTCTTGTCTTATTGTTCCAGGTAAGACTTTGTGTGTTATATCGAACAAGCATGGAAAGAGTTGTTACTCTCGTCTTCTTCCAGACTTTAGAGCAACTATTTTCAGTCTCCTACCATTTAATGTGTTAGTTTTAGGTTTGTTGTGTATGCTTTTCTACTTCCAGGTATATTCCATTGAATTTTAACTTCTTCAGGGATTTTTATCATGAAATCACATTGAGCTTTGTAAAATGCCTTTTCTGTATATATTGAGACAATAGTGTGTGATTTCTGTTCTTGTGTTTACTTAAATTACTTGCATTACATTATTGATTTGCATATTTGAAGCTAGGTTTGCACCCCTTGGACAAAGCCAACTTGGTTGTATAATTCTCTTAATGTTGTCTTGTGTTTGGTTTATAAGTATTTTGCTGAGAATTTTTGCATATATATTAATCATGGAAATTGGTTTGTAGTTTTCTTTTTTGTTATGTCTTTATCTGGTTTTGATATCAAGGTAATACTGGCTTTATAGAATGAGTTTCACAATGTTCATTCCGTTTTCATTTTATGGAATAGTTTGAGAAGTATATGTCTTAGATCTTATTTAAAGGTTTATAGAATTTAGCAATAAATCCATCTTATTGCATTTTTGTGGGGACATTTTTATTTACTGTTTTTACCACTTCACTCTCTTTTCTTGTTATGGGTCTATTTAAGTAAGGGATAGTCATAAAGGTCTTTTCCAGCGAGACAGAAGTTAAAACATAATAGTTTAACAATTAAAATATAAAAAACACTGAAAAATAAGCCTCTAAACGACTAAAAGTTGAAGAAATAAAAATGAGCAATAACATGTATTGTACCAGTCAGAATTTTTTTCCTCATTGCTATGTTAGGGTTTTTCCTCCTCTGCTTGGGATGTTGTTTGATAACTTTTCACATGTTGGGGTTGGGGAAAGAGGATTGCTGGACTAAGGTGGTCAGACAAGTTAAGAATGTGTGACTTTCCAAATGAGAAGGACTTCTGAGAGTTTGGACAACTTTCTGCCTGAATATCCTAGCCAGAATCTTTCATATCCCTTCCTCTCTTACAGGATTATAATCCCCAGTGAAGTGGGACTTACCCAATCAAGTGTTCCATGTGTCAGGCTCTGATGGCCTGCTCCCCTGAAGTCCTCTGTTACAGCAGAGCACTGTGCTGGCCTTCATAGTCCACTTCTGGAGATTATGTTTTGGTTGCCCAGGCAATGATCAGGTAGGAGGACTGTTTTTCTGACTGGATGTCCTGTGTTCAGGTTATGGCCATACTTCTGCTAAGCACTTACAGTTTTGTGCATACTCTACTCTGGTAAGTTCCCCATATTTGTTTTTAACCATCCCTGGCTGTCCTTTCTGATACACTGGTGTTCCCCCTTGGGCAGTTCACTGACTGAAGCAGTGCTGGCAGCCTGTCTGTTAACTTGAGAATTTCACTGCAGTGCACAGCAAATGGCTATTGGCTAGTCTAGTAGGCAGTAGGAGCAGTGTGGCTCAGTGATACAGTACTAGTACCCCTCATGATTATATTAATTTCTTTCCTAAGATGCAATTTTACTCTATTTCCATCTACCATTTTACTCCAAAGCCTTGAGTTCATCTTAAAAAGCATTTTATGATCTAAGAATTTTGCATACATAAAATATACACAATACCTAGCTTTTTTTTTGGCATAGCTTTCCTAAGACATGAGAATCTGTTCATTGGGAAATGATGTTCTCATGGCTCATGATTTAAACAATTTATATTAATCAGCATCACTGTTGGCCTCTCATGATGCTTCCCATTTAATGCTGAGCAGAGTTGATTAGAACCAGAGTAAGTCTTTATTTTGCTTCTTAGACTCATGAACTCAATAGTATGTACCTGTCAAGGAGAAGAGCCACAGCTAAATTACTGACATAATGCTCATGTAAGCAGATTTTTATGAATTGTGCTTTCAGAATGATTTATTGCAGCTTTATAGCCTTTTCTGTGACATATTCTGTCCACGTTTAAAATTTTATTCAAAATGCTAGCAACCTGGAATTCAACTCTTCCCAGAGTTGTATGATCACTTGGTTAAAATCTAACTTAGTAAGTTTTCAAGATGCATCTTTTTTTGTTTTAAAGCACATTTTGGGATGACACTTAGTTGAACTCTTTATGCTTGGGAAGAGTGTATTGGTGATTACTAATGGCTTCAGTTGAGGGAGCTGCATAGATTGGCTTCCCACCCTGGCTGTTCAGTTCCGGAGGTCTTCCTCATGTGGTCATTCTTGCTGTTTGCTTCCTCAGTTACTTTGTTCTTTTCATATTTTTGTTTGCAAAAAGCTGTTTGAGGGGCTCCATTTATCCTGGTCTGTTTGAATCTTAGACTCAGGGAATACATAATGAGAACAGGCAGATACATTAGTAACATAGTAACATAGCCAAGTCATAAAAAAAGACAACTCCTTATGTAATGTGGACATCAGGAACCTGGAGCAAATGCCCAAAGCTCCAAAATACTTTGCCTTATGCTTAAGGCATTTTCATTATGAAAAATGAAATTCTTTAACAAATGTTCAATTTAATTTCACAAACAGATGAGCCATATCAGTTAGAAGTGCTTCATACTTCAAGGAGCTGTCCCCCTTTGTCTGTGTGTGTGTGTGTGTGTGTGTGTCGTATGAGTTTATAAATGCCTGTGTGCATGTTCACAGAGTCCAGATTACATTGGGTGTCTTGCTCCATCATTCTCAACTTTCCCTTTTGAGACTGAAACTGTCTATAGTCAGGCTGGTCGTCAGCAAGCCCCAGAGATCCAGGTGTCTCTGCCACTGAACAGCCTTGAAGCATTGTGTGATCATGCTCATCTTTTTTATTTGAGCTCTGGTCCTTGTATATGAAAAGGAAGTATTCTTACCTACTGAGCCATCTTTCCAGTCCCAGGAGCTGTCGTATTAACCACACAGTAAATAAGAATAAATGACAAATTTTCCCCTTTTCTTACACATCAAGAAGTAGGCCATTCCTAGCATTGGTGTGGTGTTCAGTTTGGGTGCCGATTCTGTGGTCTACTTGCTCTGCTCTTGTGCAACAGTGCCAGGAGTCTTGGCATATGCTAGAAACTACTGCAGGCTTGCATCTTCCTTGTCCTTCAGTGTGGCATTATACACCCTGTTAGCAGTTTCCTTTTGTGTGTCATAGTTTTTTTCTAAGATATCAAGAATGATTGATTTTCTTCATCGCTGTATTTTGGAAATGATTAATATTATTGATTTTCTTGGAATAAGTATTCTGAAACAGAAACAGACAAAAGCCCTTAAAAAACTTTCCTGTATCAGCCATTGCAGAGAAATTTAACACATAAAGAAAACAAACTTCTCTAGAGGTTTACATACTTCTTGGGAGAAAATGCTTAAAGGTGAACTAAACATTTTAGAGGAATAATGTACTAGCTATTGAAACATTAAATTTGTATTAGACATTAAGAATGAACACATCTTCCTTTAGTATTCTCCTTCCTTTCATGAAGTTTTCTGTCTGCTTAATTTATTCCCACACAACCTTGATAGGAGGAGATTAGATTGCAATATGAATACATAGAAAGGGTCAGCAGTACACTGTGAAACGTCTGGCTAGGTGCCAAAAGGGGATTACCAATTATTTGCTGCATTCTGATTTTGCCAGAGGAGAAACTTAAAATTAATAAGAAAGCATTTCTTTTCTCTGAGAGTAATTAGAAGAGGGAATAGACCATCAGGAGGGGTGATTGAAGGAGGCAATATGTGTAAATTAGAAAAGGAGTTCACAGATTCTACAGAGCACCCTGGGTAGACATGCTGACTTGTCAGCGTTTCTTGCTAAGTGTCATGAGGATGGGCAGAGCATATGGGAAGTGATTTTAATTGCGTGCTTCTGTGCTTTAGGGAGGAATTAGAAACATGATGTTTCTAACAGTTTCAAGTGAAGATGGACCACCACACACTAACAATCATCACCATTACTTAGAAACAGTTCTTAGTACATATAGTTTTTCAACACTTCCACACTACACCTAAAACATCTTGGAGCATAGCCCCTCAGTCTGCTAAGATAAGGTAATGTGTATATCACATCTCTTAAAAAATAACATCACTGACTACAAAAATTATAAATCAAGCCCCTGTGAGTTACTTGGAAAACTGGTAAGAGAAATTCTCCATCAAAACATTTCCTGAAGTCATTTCTCAGAAGGAATAGTGTAGGTGGCCGTTCAAGAGTGAGATGTGCTGCCTAGCATTTGCAATGCATAAGGAAGACAGTGAAGAGCTTTCCATTCCAGATGGTGTGAGGTCCTCCAGACTCCTCCAACCCCAGTTAAGAGTTCCCATCCACAGAAATAGAGACTTTTCATTTGGAACAGTCAAGAGGCTGCTCCCAGCTAGAGTAATCTTGAGTGTTTTGCCCTTAGTAGAATAGGTCCCTAGGACTGGCTAATAAATTTGGATGTCTTGAAGATTACTGAAAACTCCCAAACTTCTCTCTTATGGAAATTGTGTTGGTTTGAGATTGGTATTCATGGTCAGGTTCAATAGATTCCCTTGTATTGGTCCTTTATGATGTTTTGGATAGAAACAGCTGTTTTGCCAGATTTTTTGATTGAACTGACTGATTTGTTTTATATTATAGATACTTAGTTATTAAAGTATGCTGCATCACTGGATGACATTTAAGCGTTGATTATTTTTATTTACAAGTTTATCAGCATTTTCTGTGGAACTTTGATGCCCACATTCCTACCTGAGTTAGGCCTGTTGTATTGACTGACCATAACATTGTCACTCTCTTCAGGCTGAGAAGTCTTCCTGCTGAGAGAATATTAGGTTTTAGCTCCTAATTAGGAGCTAAATAATTAGGCCTCCCAGATAACTTTAGACACGTTACCCACCCCCAAAAGTTGTGCATTTGGGTTCTACTAGCTTCCAAAAGAACAAATACTATTCCCTTAAAATTACTTTTATCTGTCAGCCCCTCAATCCGTTATCTATCTATCTATCTATCTATCTATCTATCTATCTATCTATCTATCTATCTAATCTACCCCCCCTCTCTCTCTGTGTATGTGTCAGCACATGTGTGGAGGTCAGAGGACAGGAGGAGGCAATTGGTTCTCTACCCTGTGGGTTCTGGGGAGTCAACTCAGTTGGTCAGGCTTGGCAGTAGGCACTTCCACTCCACTCACTGAGTCATCCTGCTGGCATTGTACTTTCTATTTTTTCATGCTTGGAGATTGTTGCCTTGGCATAGGGACATATGTTTCTTAGTAATTTTAAATAATTCAACCAACAAATTTGCTAGCTTAGGAAACATTTTAAAATATCTTTTGGATATATTTTTAGAGTTTTTGCTTTTTGAATCATTTACGCTTTCATATTTTCCTGGAAATAGCTCCATTTTATTTAAATTGGTACTTGTTAAAGCACAGTTTCCAGACCAGCAGCACTAGATGCACCTGGGATTTTTCTGACTGCACAGCCCTAGACATATTGTGTCAGGAACTCATATTTCAATAGATGCAGTAGGTGACTGTGATCTTCTAATTTACTAAGTTTATAGCTTAACCTTATGCTTTAAAAATGAGGAGTGCATATTTAGGAGTCTATATAAAACATACAGACATGCAAAATTTATATGTATATATAAAGTATATATATGTAGAAATTTATATGTAAAAAAACCCCTGAGGCCAGAGGCCATGAATTTGTGAGAAAGTGGAATGGGGGCAGTATAGGGAAGGGGATAGATGAAGGAAAGAGAAAGGGGGAAATTATGGGATTAAATTTTCATTTCAAAAAATAAAAACTATTAAAAAATGTAAAACCTTACCCACATGCTTAGTTGAATCCTCTCTTTAATTTTTATGTTGGTGTCTCTGATGGCTAGATTATTAAGTTTGAACTACTTATTTTCACTGGCTTTTCAAAAAGTCAGCTCTTGGCTTTATTTATCAACTGGCTTTATTACCTTGTGCTACACATGAGGAACATTAATGCCAGCATTAAATAAAGTTTAATTAAAAAACAATGAGTGTTGCAATAATTTTCTATAATTATAGTAATTAATCCAGATCTGTAAAATCTCTATGTTTGAAGCAAGGTCTTTCTGTGCCATACTTTTAGTGTTAATGTGCGTGGTACAGGCAAATAAAACCCAGTATCTGGAGTCTGCTACATAGAATTACTGTCATGGGAAGCAACTGAATGGCAAATTTCTGTCTCTTGTTTGGAGAGCCTGTTCTCATCTTCTTGGCTTTGTAATTTTGGAACATTGATTTTTTTTTTTTTAGTGTCCATTATATCT